GGGGGGGGGGGGGGGGGGTTCTGTTTTTGAAATCAAAACTATTATACAAACACTTCTTTTTAAATATAAATGAGAGCCTTTGATAGTAATTACGCAACTGTGCCATACTTTATAATAGCATCAAGAAATAAAATTTAGAGTCAAATATTTACTTTCTGGATTTGAATGCATTATAATGTATCTTAGACATTGTAGACCGGTTTGATAGAAGACGTTATTAAAAAGCGGATACTTTGTATTTGTAGCAGACTACTTTTTTTTCTAAAAATATCTACCATTATTGCAACAGGTTGGTTAGCAAAAGTTTCCATTTCAAAATTAATTAATTTTCTTTTATTTTAGTTGAATCCCCTTGGGAATCCCCAGCAAGATTTCGGTTGCCATCCTAGTTGTGTGCAAATGATCACCTTCATACAAAAAAGTATAAGTTACCTATAGAGGTGAACTAAAACCGTTTATCGGTTTGGGCTGAGACCAAGAAAGCTACTCCAAGTGCCTCTCTCCTGTGCGAATTTGCGCCACTTAGTCATCTCAAGTGCAGACAGATCCTCCCGCACTTAGTCCTTGAATGTGTTCGTGGGCGCCCATTAGTGCAGAGTCGAAGGATCTTTTCACCGGAGCGTCGTCCATGCGTACAACATGTCCAAACCAGTGCAATCGTTGTATTTTGATGCGCTTACCTATGTGAATGTTGTTAAAAAGATCATACAGTTCATACAGACTAAAGTAGCCTCTAACCAGCATATATGGAGTAATTCCCGCGATCCTAATGAGTGTCATCCTTCAAAATCTAATTAGAAACTAGGCGAAGAGACTTAAATCAGGGGAGTGAGGGGCCCACTCAACGGCTTCCACGTGTTGCAGTCACAGAATCCATTGTTCCCTGCCCACGGTGTGTTGACTACAGAAAACCTTTTCGTTCACACTTCCTGCCCAAGGACTCGTTCAGTTACTTTCAGAAATATGCGATTCCATTATGCCGCATCCTGTATCAACTCACCGACAATGTCTGCCCAAAACCTTTATTCCTTTCTACATTCAGAGCCAGATAAAGCGGTGATAAGACCCATCTCGAGAATTAGCCAGAAGAGGGGTGAGGCCTTCAGTGAGCCCAGTCACGAACCGAGTACTTTGGCTTTATCCGGCTGCAGTGCTAGAAAAAGACCCACCTCTGCACGGGAGATCCCGAGGCCAGTTCTTCTAACAAAATTTAAATGTATCGGAAGATCTGTAGTGCAGACAACGAGCGTCCTGTGTCCTCAATAAGTATAGTTTGCTGCCAATGGCGACGCAGCCAGCTTGTTGACCTCAGAAATGGCCAAGGTCTTCATCTGGGCAATCGCCTCTATGGTCGATCGTTGTCTTAGCAGCTCATCGATCAGAGAGGATCAGAACGATTTCGTGAAGTTGCCAGAATACATTTTGTAGGCAAAGATGAAGTATGGAAATGGCAAGGTCACAAAGCGCCAGCAAGCTGTTGAGGAAGACCATGAAAACAAAGATCAGAAGATCACAGTAGTGGTAGGAAACCCCAAATCCACTATTCGCCATCGGGTTACATGAATATGTTTGTAAGTTTCCTGTGATGACAGTAGATTCATTGAGCTGTACAAACCCAGTCGTAAAAGTAGTAATGCATTAAATTCGTGATAAATAATGTATGAAGTTTAGATTCTATTACTGTTTAATATGCAATCAGCATTCTAATGTATCCAAAAAGTGCAAAGGTTTCATATTAAAGAAATGCATTTTCGAATGTGAAAAGCGTAGTTTTAATGATTATTTTTTCCATTACCATACATTAAATTTTCCCACTGGGAAGCTGCGGTCGATAATATTGGCCAAGTTTACACAAGAAAAATGTACGAAATATGATTTACTTCTGCTTTAGCGAGATGCTTTAGCGAAGATGCTTATCAACCTGTTGCCGTGCAGTACGTCGATGATAAGTACTTATACATATGTATGTAGTATGTGTGTGTGCATATATTTTCCGCTGTATTTAAGATTTTTTCTAAGCATATTTTGTGCTGGTATATCTAGTGGGTGTTGTCATGTTCTTCAGAATCCCAAAGCTAATTACGCTAAGATAAATTAAAATAAATAAGAAAAAGAGGAACTAAATAAATAAAGCAACACGTTGTTTAACGGATTAGATCAGCTCACCGAATGTGTAGTTAACAGCAGCTCGAAGATTAACATATTTTTTTTGTAATTTTAAAGCAATTTTTTTTTTTTAGCTCAAATTGCAACTCTAAGCAGTCACGTATGCAAATCGGTGTTATCTTATCAGCACAAATGGTTTTTCAGCGTACATTTCTACGTATAAGATAATTTGTTGTATTAGTAAATGCATACATACTTATAAGCGTGAAAGAACGTTCGACTAGCTTAGAAGTTTTCTGTTTTATAAAAATTTTTTAAGAAACCTGGTGTAAATGTAAAAGTATTCGGTGCAACGTCTAACTGCCTGTGGTGACATACAAATGTACATATGTATGCTTGTCTTATGTAATAAAATATGTACACATATAAACAAACCCACAAGTACATATCTATTAATTGGCTATTACAGCTGGAATGCAAACCCCTGCTGGAGATGAGCGGAAGTCATTTGTTATTATTTTTATTATTTAGATATTTAGGGCACATGCAAATATTATTTAAATTGATTTCGTCTCTCTCTTAGGGTGTCGCACTGGAGCTTATGATTTTGCACTTAAATTTGCATTGCTTTGCTTGTGAACTGAATTGCTTGACATATCCGCGATTATGATTTATTTTAGTTTTATGATTTCATTTTAACTGACCTCATTCTGATTGTTTTTAGTTCATTTGTCATTTGTGTGCGGAAATATATCAACATATTATATATTTACATATATACATCTATAGTGGTCGTTCACGAATCTTATATTGCGCGCCTAATTGGTAAAATCGAAAAATTCGTTAAATCGAATAAATTTTATAAATTTTTATCTTACCGCTAATAAATAACAGAATGTATATATATTTAATTTTATTATTATTTATATCTATCTAAATATCTTTATATTTAGGGCCTTTTTTCTCAAGTAAGTTTTAAAATTTATTTGCCTCTTAAACAGAAATTTTGTTCTGAAAAAATTTTCAAATGCATCTGCCTTCAAACACATTTTTTTTCAGAACAAATTTGTGTTTAAAAGACAGAAAATTAATTTCAATAACAACAATATTCGAACATTTCCGTTTTCTTATGAATAGCCAATTAATCCAAAGTCAATGGTAATTTGTTGTTAAAACAAACTTTTTTATGCAGATAAACAACAAAAATTTAACTACCGTTGATTAAAAAAAACTTTGCTACTGTAAAAATTCACTAGCATTCGTAATATATCTAGAAACATTACTGAGATAATTTTGTTGATTCGTTATTCCGAAAGTGCGTTATACTGAGCGACTACTGTATTTACCGTTACTACCTATATGTACATATACATGTATGTGCAATTTTTACTGCAGAATTATGCCATAATCTGTGTAAACAGCAGCGGAAAGATTCTTTAATAAATTAAGTCGGAGTTATCAGTGCCGACCCACTTTTCTGTATCTGTGGATTTATGACCAGCTTTTTTGGGTTTAAAAATTACTTCATAAAAAACATAAATAATTACGTCAATGAAAACAGAATTTTAGAAAAACTCTGCTTGCTTTTAGAAGAAAGTGGTTGGTGACAAACTGCGCTGAGACGTCTTCAGGAAAGTACATATCTGTGTTCATATGAAATATTTAGTAGCTTATGTCGGTAAGCTGGCTTTAGTATAATACGGCATTGCCTTTATTCTTTAAAGTTTAAATTATGATTCCTAATCATTGCAAGCACTACACACTTAGTTCTCATGATTGATATCTTATTAATTACAGCAATAAAAAACAGCTATAAATAAACAACAAAATGGGCAATGCAGGATATACGTGCATTCGAAGGACGTTTTGCTGGCTTAATATAATTTTATGGGTAAGTTTAATTTAGTTAATATGTATGGACTCTTTAGACGGCGACATTTGTATATCACTCGCCTACTTGTATACTATTTAAAACAGTGGTAAATATGGCGGCCGTCAAAGTTGGCTTACCCAAAGAAAAGTACCTCATAAAATAGAACAAAATGCGTAGGATAACCGCACAGGTTTTCTGCAACTAAAAAGTCTTCTTAATACATGAAGAAAAATATTATTATTTAGTAGGGTGTATGACAAACTACTCTATATTTTGTAAAGTTGCTTCTTTAAAAATCAATAAGGCAAAACTGAACTGACTTTTGTGGGTCCCGAAATTAACTTCCAGTGTAAAATGCAGACATTTCTCTCCGATGGGTGTCGTTGGGGCCGATGTTTTTGGAAACACCCCGATTATCGCATTGCCTAGCGTAAAATTAAATACATATATACCTAGAATTATGAATATATGTTAGTCGAGACCGAATTGGTATTATGTCTAAGGTAGAATGCTTGTAAAAAATTAAAGCAAAATGCACATGCTCTACGTAATTTTCTGAAAAAAAACGATAAACTGAAGTAAATGTTTGAGTTTAACGAAGTGGTATCAAATAAGTTAGGTTAGGTTAGGAATATTCCTTGCTTTAATTCGTAGGCAAATTTGTCCATTGAGAGTGACCTCTACAAATTAGTGACCTCTACAAATTGTAGCCTGCCGATGTCTCTACACTATAGATATTAAAGAAAAATTAATATGGCGGATCTTTATAAGAGCAACAGAAGCCAAATCAACAATTTTTAGAATTATTGTCTCTCTGTTTGTATGTTTGTACGCGCATCACACGAAAACTAATGCATGGAATTGAATGCAGTTATCACCGATCTATTTCTAGAGGCCTAGTTTAAAATATAGCAGGAAAAAATGGTGAGTTGCCACTTGTTAGAAAATTGCAGTTTAAGTAAATTGATAAGGTAAAGCAAATCTTGCAATATGGCTGTCAAAAGAAAGAGGTTTAAGAAGACTTACAGCCGAAAATATTTTTATGAAAGGTCGCCACCTGTTTGAAATTTTTAATTTAATTTAATTGATGAGATAAATTGAATATTGCAATATGGGTATCAAATTGAAGAAGTTTAGGAAAGTTTACTGCCGGATATATTTTTGAGGAGGATTGCCACCTATTTTGAAAATTTGCTGATCTTAAATACATTTTTTATTTCATCCGACCAATTCATTGTGAAGGTGGTATGTGAATTACCTTTGGCATAATTGGAGACTCATCTCAATATGTATGTAGTCGGTTAGCAGTGATTTGATAATTCGTATTTATTTCTCATTTATGCCCTTACCCGGTTTTTTTTTGGGAAAATGATTCTTGATTACATAAATTCATCTCTTGAAAGAGTTTATATTTACAGTACATACATTTGGTACTTATCTACATAACTACATATGTACATATAGGTAGGGTGGTAAAAAAAAAGAAGTTTAATATGGTAAGCTCTCGCCCCTATGGTTTATCTAAATGCATAAAAGAATAACCGTATTTTATGTTAAAAAAAAGATATTTAGAACTGCCTCAAAGCCCATGAAGTTTTCCATATGGAGAAAACACTTAGAATTCTTGAAAATCAACATCGAAAAGATCGCAAAACTCTGTTTCTCTTCAAGAGCCTTCCAATAATAATATCCAATTGTTTATTTTACCATTTTAAAATACTAACGACTTTTTATGGGTCACCCCTATTGCGGTTTTTGGGGTATCTTTATAAAATAGTTTACACTAAAAAAATGGTTAAATAAAAAATTGGGTATTGTTATTGGAAGTCTCCTGAAGTGAAACAAATCTTTTTTCTTTTAACACAAAAATACGAATATTCTTTTTGCATTTCAACAAAATCCCATTGGTGAAAGCGTAACATTTTAAACCTTTCATTACCCCCCCCCCCCCCCCNGTTTTGGAACACCCTAATGCACATGCATATGTTAAAAGGCTAATAAGTTTTCAATGCCAGCCTCACATTTTCCCACACATTGAAATACGATTTTTGAATAATGAGAATTGTGTTGATGCTTTAATGAGCCAAAATGACGATGCGCTTGACGGCAGGTAATTACGTACATATACATATATGTACATATGTATGTGTGTAGCTGAAGTGTTGTTCACCTTTTCTTGCCACCAATGCCTGCAAACATACATACATTCATACATATAGATGCGTCTGCAGCGGAAATTGATGTGTTTTCCGATTTTCGAACTATATACACTAACTATAATGCGCGGCAATAGCAACAATAATGCACCCAATAAGTTAACAAAGCAGAGCATAAGAAAATGTCTGTGAGAATGGAGGCGTGCATGATTGAATACAATGGACACCGAAACCGGCGTCAACACCAGCATAGCATTGTGTAAACTTTATAGACTTTGCTGGCATGTGAGATATGTACATAAGTATGTACATATGTATGTATGTACGTATGGAGTTGCAATGACGGTCGGCGACGTGTCGCTGCTAATGAGCGCTGCACATGCAATACTTCATTTAATGATTATATTTGAATGAAAATTACAATGAATTTACTCTACTTGATTAAGTTTGCTTTGCATAAGCTGCCCAATTTGGCAGAGTAGCGATTGTTTTTTTTTTTAGTAAAAAAACGTGTCGCCACAATTGCCTCAGCGGCTTAAAATTGGGCAAATGCATTTCTTTGCAACTCATTAGAACGCACAAAAAGACACTTAACATTCTCAAGCAATTCCGCAATCAAACTTTTTTTTTTCGTTTTTTTTTTCAGCTTTGCAGTTGCGCTTTTCTTGGTGTCGGAGTCTGG